CTCTTTTTTTCTCTTTTCTTTTCTCTCACTCTTCTCTTTATTGGGGTATTGTGAGCAAACATGTGTTGCTCTGTTATTCCTTAATTCAGAATTCTATTTGTACTTTATCTTTAAAATCTAGTGGGGGAAGAACCACTGCCTATTAAGGGTGTAGTAGTTAGAATGTTAAGAACCACTGGCACAGAGATTGCTATAAATATATATCTAAAACTGAAGATCCTTTATCTGTCAAATACTAAATGCTACCTTTTGTTCACCATTTGATTATTTTACAGCTGGTATTCAACAACAACCCTAACAAACATTTAAGCTCTGCATTAAAAAAAGAAAAAAAAAAAGAGGAGAAAATGATAACTACCAGACTCTTTGAAGCATAAGTATTGCCTATGTTTCAAAGAGAATTTTCTTTGAGTAATACTAATGTATTTCTTCTTTGCCAACAGTGTAAATCATTATAACTTCAGGTAGTAAAGAGGAGGAAAATATCAAAAAATGAAAATGCAAGTTTGTGAAAAGATAGAAAATCTTTTTATTTCTATTGGGAAATTGTGCTTTTACTGCATTTTAACACTCCCTTTTGAACAACTGAATTAGAGAGCTTTTTCAGATACATTTTAAAAGAAAATTCTTGCATAAACCAACTATTATTCTGGGGATAACAAGCTTTAATATTTATATCAGTCCATCTATCTTCCCATACACTGAAAAAGCTGGAAAAGAAAGAAAGAACGAAAAAACCCATCATTATCCTAAGATTGTTATCACATTATCCTTTATCATCTACTCTAATAATCAAGTTGAAAACAACACAAATAAAACCAAAGGACTATCTTCTCATCTGATTTGCGACATGTATTGCCAGCTGTCAGGCTTATGACATAGAGGCTCCCAGAGTCATCAACAGACAAAATAAGACTAACTACTATTATTTCATTATAATTTATGACAAGAGCATTATTATTTTCTTTAAATACAGACTTTATCAGCATTAAAAAGAAAATCTTTGTCTTGCCTACTCCACCTTTTACTTATTAATTTTATCAAATGTTCTTAACAATAACATAAACAGAATGCACCAAATTATAAAATTCCTTTTGTTTACATGTATTGTGGAAATTGAAAAGAAGAAAATTGATAACAAAAGTAAGACGTTGTCAAGCAAGAAGCTGATGATGATATTATGCAATACTGCTTTTTTTTTATAAGCAGGATTTTCTTTTGGATATGTTTTGCAGAGATGTAAATTCATCATAGAGGTTCCATCAGAAATGTTCAAAAATGTAGAATACAATTATCTTCACCAAAGTTGCTGTCCACCACATCCCTACTTCATTTTCCTCTTGGGCAGTTTCCCAAGTGTAGATACTCGGTGGAAGGCACAGAGGGTTAGCAAGAAGTTGACAATGTATGTGCTGACACAAACAATGCAAAAGTCATGCAGGATGAAGTAGAGGAGGTAAGCTAGGTAGAGACTCATAAAGTTGGAGGTGAAGACCAAGCCACGCTGGATCTTTGCTGCTGTTGGGGATCTGATCTCACCTAGGAGGGGAGGTAAGAAGGGGGGAGAAGAAAAGAAGATAAATATATTTTCATTATTACAGTAATTTTTAATTTTGGTTTCCCTGTTTCTGAAAAGTGACACTGATAACCTTCATCCTTTTTTATATATTCTACACCTAATTTGCACTGGAAATATACTGTAAATGCATAACAAATGGATGATACTGGAAGATATATTTATTTCAAGTCTTTAAAGTAAATAGTAAATAAATTTTTACTTCCTCATAACTTGTAACCTGATTTTAAAGTTAAAAAAACATCATCCTATAAAATGCAAAGATGAAAAGGATGAAATTACCCTAATAAAACTCTTCCTTCTTCACCATCACTTACCAAGGGCAAGGATCAGTATGTAGAACATGATGCCAGGGATGCTATTTGGCTGGTTCAGGATGTGGTCCTTCCCTAGGTACTCACCCACAATGCCAAAGCCTCGGCCATATCTAGGGATCAGTGGAGGTCAGGGTTAATTTATTGGTATGTGTGTGCATGTGTAAACATCTACACATGTAATCACCCATATGATAAAAAGATAAAAAGATAGACACATGCACTCTCACTCATTCTTACTCACGTCCTGTACCTCCCTAAATAAAGTATCATACAAATAACATACAAATAACCAAACATATTGGATATCAAGTTACATTTCAACTGTCCTTTTCATTTTTGACAAAGTACCTAAAAATTTGAATCCACCAAAAATGCTGATACCAGATGCTGATTGTGAAACTATTTCTACAAACTGAAGAGCTTATCTATAACTCCCAGTCAACCTATCATCATGTATGGGACTTGTCATAGTATGTCTTGTCAATAATTTGACACCAATACTAACAAATAATTTACTTAAATCAAAATTCTTTTGACTCTAATATATGACACAAAAGTGTTTTATTATTTAGTTAACTGACATAGTTTACAGAAAATCACTAAACATTTATGAAGTGAGATGCATCATCAGATATAAATCAAAATCAGTTTCATGGTGTCATCTCCGTGTGAAATGTTATCACAAGTCCTAGAAAATTTATCAGACTTTTATCATGCTTATTCTACAAGTATCAAACCTCCTACAAGATCACAGCACTTTTCTCTCATTTGCTGAGTGTAAAAACTGCAAGTTACCCTATATATATAGATGGTATTATGGCAGTTGCACAGATATCTTTGTGTGTGATTGTGTTCGTATGTGTATGTGTATGCAGATGCAGGTCCAGTTTCATCCAGCATCCCACTTACAAGGTAGGTAATATATGGAAATGATAGAGCAAAAAATCTTAGAAACTTATTTTCAAACAAACTTAGACAAACTTATTTGCTACAGAAGAGTGAGAAAGAAAAGAATTGGCACAGCCCCCTGCATTAGACAATTTAGCGACTGATTCTTTACTGTGATTACGACAGAGTTTGAGAATTTACCACAGTGCATGCAGTGTGGAAAAATAGTCGAAGCATTGCAGTACAATCCTATAAACATAGCCTTATCCACGAATGAAAGTATTGGTAATGTTAACAAAGTGACTGCACCCCTCTGAGGTTATGCTCCTGTTAATCCAGCCATTCCTGGGAAATCCACCAACATCGACATATGAACCAAAAATCTTCCTAACCCTCACACCCCAACCGATTGTGTACAGACAAACACTAAAACTATTCCCAATATTCATCAGATGCAATACATTCATGTCAAAATCATTATTATGAGGATGTGCAGATCTGGAAAACCTTACTTGGAAGTGAAGACTTTGGAGCAGGAGATGTAGGAGTTGATGTCGCACATGGCTTCGTAATTCTCATCGGCTTCCTTCAGGAACTCGACGTAAAGAGCGTAGAGAGACAGCGCGACGCCCAAGAGACACAACACCATCATTCTGAGCCTTATTTTACTCAGAGTTCTCGCTATATCTCCCTTAGCCATCTTTTCTGACGATGTGCAACGGGTTTTGGAAGTTATTTTTGACTCTGCTTCGAGGGGACACCTGTTGGAACCCCGGCCTCCACCTGACAGTTTGTTTATGTTTTGATGACCACAGCGCGACCCGGAGTCAGGGCAGCTTTAAGGCCGGCTTGGATAGTGGCGATTTTGTGCTTCGTTTGAACACGTTTTGAAGTTATCTGTTAGGGATTTGAAAGTGTACTCGATAGTGTAGATTTGTTTGTATGTGTACTCGTACATCATGCCAACATTCAAGGGTTAACTTTGGGAGGACATTTATTTAATCATGCGTGCTTGAACAATAGCTCTGATCGTTCATTTTGTGCGTTTATTGTGAATGTGTGTGTGCGTGCGTGCGTGTGTGTGTGTGTGTGTGTGTGTGTGTGTGTGTGTGTGTGTGTGTGTGTGTGTGTGTGTGTGTGTGTGTGTGTGTGTGTGTGTGTGTGTGTGTGTGTGTGTGTGCGTGTGTGTGTGCGTGTGTGTGTGTGTGTGTGTGTGTGTGTGTGTGTGTGTGTGTGTGTGTGTGTGTGTGTGTGTGTGTGTGTGTGTGTGTGTGTGAGTGTGAGTGTGTGTGAGAGTGTGTGTGTATGTGTGTGTGTATGTGTGTGTGTGTGTGTGTGTGTGTGTGTGTATGTGTGTGTGTGTGTGTGTGTGTGTGAGTGTGTGTGTGTGTATGTGTGTGTGTGTGTGTGTGTGTGTGTGTGTGTGTGTGTGTGTGTGAGTGTGTGTGTGTGTGTGTGTGTGTGTGTGTGTGTGTGTGTGTGTGTGTGTGTGTGTGTGTGTGTGTGTGTGTGTGTGTGTGTGTGTATGTAAGGTCTTTATAAGCCTTGCGCGTGCATATGTACGTGCGTGTGTGGGAGAGGGGAAGAGAAAAATAGAATGATATGAAAAAATAATCCTATCTATAATGCAAAACTCACTCACAAATTTAATGAAAAGAAAAGAAAAAATGCATGGGGTATATATTTTTCCTGCAAACCAAGTGTGACCAGATCTCAGTATTTGTCAATACCCTACAGACTGCATCCATTAAGATCATTTGAAACAAGTATGATATGTTTAAGTTTATCAGTTTGTATAATCCATTTTTTCTGTGTTTATAATTACTTGCTTTCGCTTAAATTTACCGTAATTTTCAGTTCTTTTTTCTTTCTGAAAATTTCATATCAGAAATTGAGTTTTGAGATCATTTAGGCCAATCATTATCTAATTCTAAAATCTGAACATTACTGTTTTATATATGCATTAACTATCTAATGATTATGCTTCAAATATTCAATGCTCAGGACTCATTATCCAATGCAGATGTGAAAAAAGGAAACAAAGAAAGATAAAAATCCTTGTCGAACAGGTTTATTCAAGCATACACTTTAGATTATTTTCACCGATAAATTAATTCTGGGGAAAATTGAGTGTTTGAAAATATATTACATATACGATGATTATGTTATTTTGCGTGAACATTTTATTTTCATTTTTTTTTACAAAGATGGTGCAGAGTATCTGCTATTTTTAGAATTCACTCTAAATTCCTTATTTGAGAGCGAACTTAAAGCTGAGGATAACTTTTTTTGCAAAGAGTCTCAGGTCCTTTTGGGTCAGATCACTTTTCGAAGATCATCATGGCAACGAACCGGCACATAATCTTGTACTGGTTGTAGAGCTGCTTAAAGTTAGCGTTGTCCTGTTCTAACCGCTTGCCAACATTAGAGATACCGCGCCTTTTCCTGGAGGAGGAAGGAGAGGCAGGGAAGGAGGAAGGCGGCTCGCCTGTCTCCCTTCTGCGACGCCTGCTGAAGGTGCCGCAGGCCTCGCCTCCAGTCAGCTGTCGCTTTACTACGTGGTGCGTCAGTTCATCACTCCCCCTGAGGGCGTCCATGCCTCCAAGGGACTCGATCGACCTTCGCATTCGCTCCAGGGCCCTTACCTCTTCCTCCTCCTCTCTTCTCAGCAGTCCGGAGGCGATAAGACTGTCGTAGACTCGCTCGCACTCGTCTGGGGTAAGAGACCAGGCGCCCATATCAACTTCCCTCTCACTTCTGAGATTTCCGGGCTCCGGGGGAGGCTGGGGAGACTCCGTCGTCGGGCGTCCAGCGTCGTCGCTGCTGTCGGTGGTGGAAACCATCTTCCCCTCCACTTCGTCGCCGTCGCCCTCGTCGTCGCCGTCTGTTGCATTGTGAGCCTTCGTGATGCTGTCAAGTACTTCGTTGGAGACAAAAGTAACGTCGAAGACCGTCCCGTTCTCGTACTCCTCGTAGGTCGCGTTGAAGTCCTCGAGGGTAACGTTGAATTCAGGATAGTCCTCGAGATCAGAGCCGAAGTCTACGAGCGTCACGTTGTAGTCGGCGAAGGGGTAGCCCTCTGAACTGATGTTAAATTCCTCAAAGCTTATGTTGTAGTCCTCGAAGCTGATATTATAGAGACCGATATAGTCTGAAAAGGTGATATTATTCTTGTGGAAAGTGATGTTGTAGTCTTGGAAACTGAGAAAGTGGTCGTCCGTGTTCTCTTCGCCGGCTTCTTCTTTTCCTTCCCCTGTTTGCTGTTCTTCTCCTCCCACCCTCGTCTCTTCGTCTTCCACTCCCTTCGCCTCGCTATCGTTATTTCCCTCTTCGTCTTTTACCTCACCCTCCTCGTATTTTGCCTCACCCTCCTCGCCCTCCTCGTCTTCATAATCATAATCAGAATAATCATCGTAATCAAAATAATCAGAATAATCCCCGTCAGCGGCTGGACCTCTTTTCTCAATAAGTTCGTTGATCTCCTCATCTGACATGACTATCTCCTTCGGCCTATTGATGGTGTACGAGTCGTCGGCGAGCGTGTAGTTAAGGGGCATCTCGTCGTCGAGATGGTCGCCATCATGACCTTGATCTTCATAAGAACCGTCGAAATAGAAATCATCATAGTCATCGTAATAATCCTCGTCGAAGTAATCCTCATCGTTGTAATCATCTTCCAATAAGTTTTCATCAATGAGCGTGTACACCATACCCGCACTGTCAATAACACCATCATCATCACCATCACGAAAGACATCATCTTCAATGTCATCGCTGGCCTCACCATCACTGCCAACCCGAAGCGTACCATCATCATCATCACCTACACTATCATCGCCAGTGCCATCACCATCATCATCATCTACACTATCATCGCCAGTGCCATCATCATCATCTTCACCATTACGAAGGACATCATCTATACTATCATCGCTGGCCTCACCATCACTGCCAGCCCCAAGCGTCACTGTAGGAGTGGCTGTAGAGGGCGTGGCGGTTGGGAGTGTCGTGGGCAGTGTGTTGGCAGGGTTGCAGTGCGTGACAACAACGACTGAGAGACACAGTGCAATCCTGAGGAAGATAAAACATATTGTCTTTGGTTCGATACAAAAAATGTGATTATAATTAAAAGTAGATGCTTTTCTTAAGATTTCTTTATTGAGAAGCAATATTCAGCGATGTATTGCAGCCAGCGACAATTGTGTAAGTCGCTGATGAAAGAATGAAAGGATAAATTGAATAGATTAAAAACAAACAAACAAATAAAGATAGAAGGAGAAACAAACCAAAAGTTCACTTAGTTTCATGTTCTTGTATTTGCATGGATTTAATCGCGGAAAGAAAGAGAGGGGGATGAGAGGACGGGAAGGAAAGGTATTGGCATAAATAGTATCCAAAGAAATAGATATGCAAATAAACAAATAAACAGAGAGCGAGAAAGAAAGCAAAGTACATATGCACATCTCTCTCTCTCTCTCTCTCTCTCTCTCTCTCTCTCTCTCTCTCTCTCTCTCTCTCTCTCTCTCTCTCTCTCTCTCTCTCCCTTCCTCCCTTCCTCCCTTCCTCCCTCCCTCCCTCCCTCCCTCCTCTCTCCCTCTCTCCTTCTCTCCTTCCCTCCCTCCCTCCCTCCCTCCCCCTCTCTCTCTCTCTCTCTCTCTCTCTCTCTCTCTCTCTCTCTCTCTCTCTCTCTCTCTCTCTCTATCTATCTATCTATCTATCTCTTTCTCTCTCAATCTCTCTCTTCTTCCTCCCCTATCCCCCCTCCCCTTTCTCTCTCTCTCTCTCTCTCTCTCTCTCTCTCTCTCTTTTTCCTTCCCCCTTTTAATTTCCCTCTTCTCGCCAACCCTTTAAACTTTCCACTATCTGAGGTGTGATGAACCGTGCTGAAAAGATGAAAGGCTGACTTTGTACCAGTCATGAAATGCCCGGGGGAGCCATGGACTTGGTATTACCCTATTTAGCTGTCTATCCCTTACACCTCAAGGGGACCCTGAAGACTGGACTGTATCTCTCCCCAACATACTCTAGGCTTACTAAGGACAGTAAAGAAGATTTTATACCATTATTAGTGACAATGAGGTTTACCCCTTTATCAGATAGCCCCACTGATTAAAATTCTCCTGGTTCCCTCTCCTTTGACCACGACTCTGAACACTGGTACTGCTACTCCTTCCTCAGTGCCTATTATTACATCATTTCAGGCACAATCATCTATTCAGATTAATGCTCAATCTCCCAACATATCTACTTCATCTCCACCCCACAACTTTCCTCATCAACTACCCCATCCTCCCTTGTTGCTACTCTGTAATCTTACTGTCTACCTCTCCGCAATACTACCTCCCTGAACACTACTCCCTCTTGCACATGTTCCCGTCCTTCCCCTACCCACACCTCAACGAACATCCCTGCAAAATTCCACACTTTTTCCCTTTGGCAGCTTTGATCTAATCGCTCTTGTTAATCCCTGCCTTCCTGAACTGCTATACGACTTCCGACGTGTAGCACAGTTAATCATTAACTAACTCCCCTTTTCTATAGTCTATATGACCCATGATGTCTACCACATTTAATTTGCTTTGTAACCACTAACCATCTCTCCCCCCCCCTCTCTCTCTCTCTCTCTCTCTCTCTCTCTCTCTCTCTCTCTCTCTCTCTCTCTCTCTCTCTCTCTCTCTCTCTCTCTCTCTCTCTCTCTCTCTCTCTCTCTCTCTCTCTCTCTCTCTCTCTCTCTCTCTCTCTCTCTCTCTCTCTCTCTCTCTCTTTTTCTCTCTCTCTCTCTCTCTCTCTCTCTCTCTCTCTCTCTCTCTCTCTCTCTCTCTCTCACACACACACACACACACACATACACACACACACACACACACACACACACACACACACACACACACACACATATATATATATATATATATATATATATATATATATATATATATATATATATATAGAGAGAGAGAGAGAGAGAGAGAGAGAGAGAGAGAGAGAGAGAGAGAGGGAAGGAAAGAGAGGGAAATTGGAAACCAGAGAAAATAGTGCAATAGGAAGACACCTCACATGCTTAACAAATCATCAGGATGGAAGGATTAAAGTGAAAATAAGATATATGATAAATACCAGATATTCTTACCAGTTCGGCAGCGTCCCCATGATGCGTTAGCGACGGTCGTATCAACGCAACTAACAATGGTAACTTATCACTGAAACAGTGACCATGGTCTACATACATTTGTAAACCGCCACGTTTCGGGGGAATTTTGCGCTCTATGCGTTGAAAGGGGGGGGGGGAACTCACCGATCCCATTCAGCACCTCCCCCCCCTTCCTCTTTTCCATTCTCTTGCTCCTCTTCCATTCCCTCTCGTCCTCGCGCAATTTTCTTGCCTCTTTCTCAATTTGTTTTTTTTTCCATTTCTCTTCGTGTTAATTGTTTGTCAGTCTATCTGTTTGCCTGTCTTTCTCTAGGTCTTACATTCTTCTGCCTTCTATGTGTGTGTGTGTGTGTGTGTGTGTGTGTGTGTGTGTGTGTGTGTGTGTGTGTGTGTGTGTCTGTATACACATATCTGCATGTCGGTACCTCCCCCCACCCCTCTCTCTTTCGTTTTATTGTAAAAAAACAACACACAAACATCATGCCCATCTAAGGCTATCCAGCCTATACTTCCTTTATCTATGGAGCGTAATTTTCTACTGGCATTAAAATCACCACATGTTTTTCAAATCATGAAAACATGAATGCTCTCTTCCCCTTCCCGCCCCCCCCAACTGACACCCCCCCCCATCTCCCCCAGGATACTCCCCGGATCACGCATCAAACAAAACAAAAGACTGACGCAGCTCTTTGCAGTGAGATTATTGCGGCGTTTAACCGGACGGGCTTTTCACTCGGACAATACTGTATGGAGAGAGAGAGAGAGAGAGAGAGAGAGAGAGAGAGAGAGAGAGAGAGAGAGAGAGAGAGAGAGAGAGAGAGAGAGAGAGAGAGAGAGAGAGGGAGTGAGTGAGTGAGTGAGTGAGTGCGTGAGTGCGTGAGTGCGTGAGTGAGTGAGTGAGATATATATATATAGAGAGATAGATAGATAGAGAGAGAGAGAGAGAGAGAGAGAGAGAGAGAGAGAGAGAGAGAGAGAGAGAGAGAGAGAGAGAGAGAGAGAGAGAGAGAGAGAGAGAGAGAGAGAGAGAGAGAGAGAGAGTGAATGTGTGAATGAGTATATATATAT